ACAGATGTAGTTCGAAGTGTATGGAGCTTGTATCTGAAGATATTATAGAAAGTACAATTCAGTTTGTTAACAGATTTGATAGTAAAAATGCCCAAGACACATACTTGCAGTCATTGATTGAAAAGAAGGAAATAAAGAGAAGATGGTTTAGATCTGAAGAACCTAAGGAAAAAGAATTTTCTTTTATTTATCACATTAAGTTTGAAGGTGTGATAAAAAAAGTATGCAAGAAAGCTTTTTGCAGTATGCATAGAATTTCTATGAAACAAGTTAGAGGTTTATGCATTTTATTAAAAAAAAAAGAGCAGCCTATAGATTGCAGAGGTAAATCTCAGGGTTCATGATGCAATGCATTACCTGGAGATACATTAACAAAAGTACATAAGCATATCGAATCATTTCCTGTTAAATATGTGCATTACTATAGTAAAGATGCATCATCTTTTTATTTGGATGAAAAACTTAATGTGAAAATTATGCACACATTATACGCACAAAAATATCTAGATCATTCTGTTAAATATAAGTTCTACCTTAAATTTTTCCAAGAAAATTTTAGTTTATCATTTGGTAGAAAGCAAATAGATGTCTGTGTACTGTGCAAAGAGTTAAAAATTAAACTAAAAAACCCACACTTTAATGACATCTATCAAGCAGATATTGAGATCCACAAAAGACAAAGCAAACAAATTTTACAAAAAAATACAGGAAGTTGAAACTAAGTGCAAAAATGATCCAAATGTGTATGGGATTGCATTTGATTTTATGCAAAATTTGCTACTTCCACATATCCTTGTCCAGAAAATATTTTATCTACATCAACTATGACTGTATGAGTTTTGCATATATGATTTTAAAACTGGTAAATCAGTATTTTATTCTTATTGTGAAGGAGTTGCTAACAAAGGTTCCAACAAAGTATGTACCTTTGTGCTGGATTATATTTTAAAAAATATTGGCAACAACGCCAAATAATTGCACTTATTTTCTGATGGTTGTGCAGGCCAAAACAGAAATCATGCCATGGTCCGAATACTTTTATCACTGGTAGCTGAACTAGATAGCAATATAAATGAGATATTACATACCAAAAAGAGGTCACTCATTCTTGCCTAATGATAAAATGTTTGGAACAGCAAAGCGACATATTCGAATGTTTGGAACAACAAAGCGACATATTCACACACCAACAGAGTATGAAAATCTTATAGCTGAAGCAAGCGAAAAATTTGAAATTAGAAGGCTCAAAACTGAAGATATTATTGATGTAAAAAAATGGTGGCCAAATCATTATAAGAAACTTGTGCTATCTGTGGATTCCTATGGAAAAGGAGTACCCAAGGACAAAAAAGTTACTTTTAGTATTTCTAAAGTGTCACATTTCACATTCTCTAAGACCACACCAGGGTTTAGTGACAACAGGTGAATCCATAGATTGTTTAGTCAGTTATGATTTTCAGCTATTACAAAGGATGGGTACAAGGCCAACCTTACCATTAAGTAGTACTCCTGCATATGTTGGAAAATTGCCTATCAATGAAAAAAAGATATCAGATTTGAAAAAGATAGAAAAATATATTCCATATTCAATAGAAGAGTACCAAAACTTCTATACAAAGGTTTTTGCTTGGCCAACAACTTCGGCAAACAATAAATTAAGTGATGATTAACTAACAATAACTGTTTTTATCTAATAATAAATAATTGTTATTCTGATAATCTTTGGATTTTTATATACAAAAAAGTATTCATTTCAAAAATGACATAAGTCCATAAATTTAAATTAAAAATATATGTGTTATATGTTGTTTTTTTATAATAAATAAAACTCTAAAAACTTATGTATGACTTTTATTTATCTACTCTTATATTCAGTTTCTTAGCACCATAAACTTTTTTTCAAATCTGATATCTTTTGAATAAATTGAATTGAAAAGTTTGAATAAATTGACTTGTGCCCTTTTCGAAATGACGGGTTCAATTGTATAAATGTAAAGTTTTTACATAAAGATGTAGAAAATTTTATTAAAATATTTTATAACTTAAGTGATTCATGTTGAACTATGCATGGAAAACAAGATTATGTAAGCATTGGAAAGTGTATCAGTAAACAAAAAACTCTTTTTGTGTAATTTAAAAGAACTATATTATTACACAAAGAAAACCTGAAATACCAATAAGCTACTCAAAATTTACTTCATTTCAATTGGTTCATTTTATCAAGTGCAAGTGTTACCCATTCTATTTTTTAATTATTGATGAAGCGTATAAGTATCTACTTTTAAAAATTGTTTGCTCAGTAAAAAATAAAGAATCCATGCTTACACAGTGATATAATTGTCCTGGTAAAGAACCTTTCACCACACACTTGTATAAAAAATTTTAGAGAATATGAAGATGATTTTGATGATTAGCAATGTCAAACTACAGATTGTGTATCACTATTGATGTTTATGACATTTCTTGAACTACTATTAACTAGCTTTTAAAATGCTGCAATCTCATTCTTTAGTTACCCTCTCTCAATTACAGTATCTTAATACTTAAAACAAAATATTGATTAATCAAGCATAATAATAGTTGGCAACAAATTCGAGACAAATGTGCAAAAAATTATGGTTTTGTAGTCCAAGATGATAGCTATCACTGGAACTCCCAACAATATTTTTACATCTATTATGATATGATAAAAAGACGATGAGCGTGTACTAAAACATTTTTCTTATTTTTTTATATCAGCCCACATTACACACAATGTTACCCATGTGCAAAAATTATTTCAATATATAACATATATATATATATATATATATATATATATATATATATATATATATATATATATATATATATATATATATATATATATATATATATATATATATATATATATATATATAAACTTATAGTTGCTTTGTTCTTATAAGAACATTGAGTACTAGGGTTGAATAAAAATGACTTATTTTAGAAATTCAGTTTATTTCCCTCATTTATAATGATTATTAATCTTATAACTATTTGTTATAAGAAAACTAAAAAAACGAGACTAAGATGAGCAAAACTAGGCAAGAATTACCCCATGCAACAATTTTGGTTATAGTAGACAAATTTTTAGAAATTGCTATATTTGATATTTTTATTCAAAATAATGACTTGCATTTTATTGATTTTCAAATGCGTCATTGCTACTCCATTGACATGTTATTATTAAAGAATTTTAGTATTGAACAGGTCCATTTAATAGGCTATAATATATTAGCATGCATATAGCAAAAATGTTACTTTTTAGTGTTATAGTGTGCCTTGGTGATAAATAATGTTATATGCTCTTTTGCCGCATCCAATTGCTCATCAGTGAGCTGCATCATTAGTAGAGGCTCTGTCTGCTATTAATTGCTCCAATCAATCAGCACATATGTATTCTTTGCTTTAAAGTTGAGAGTAGGAACTTTGAATTGCTGCATACTTCTTTGATTAGCTTATACACCTAACACCTATTTCTTAGATATGTGGCTGCTTATCTGATTTCATTGTCAGAAGAATAATTTTTTGGAGACAAAAAAATACATATGTTTAAAATAATTTTGTTTACTACCTTACGTAATGCATCTAGCAGATACTGTGATGTAAGTTTCTATGTAGAAAATCAAAATTTTAGATCTCTCAATTTTTCAAGGACTTTTCAATAGAGCTTAAATAGTATATAGGACCAGATGTTGGTCTATACAACTCCATAAACAAATGACATAGGGGAAGTTTATTTGCTTATAGCAAAGAAATTACCCACTGTAGAGACTACTGTTGAAGTTCTAAATTGATCAATTTTATAAAACTGCCCTAGTTTCTAGTGTTTACATTAATTCCATCACAACCCAGCACTTCCAAATTATCCAAAATGATATTGTATTCTTTAAAATAATGTAGAATTCGTTTTTTTACTATCAAAATGATAGTAAAAAAAATTTTTACTATTATGACTTTCACATGCTAATGCCTTATCTTGCTAACTCAATAACTTGCGTTTTGTCTTCATGTGAAATAATGTCAATATCCTTCAGTACAGCTGATGCCATAGCTACATCAGGTCTGTCTGAGAGCCCATAGCAATTATACACCAATAAAAGAAAAGTGAGATGCATTCGCTGGTACTATATTAACTTCGGCACAGCAGCATTTCTGTAGATCTTTGCATTGGCAAGTAGATATGTCTAACAGTTTGGCTAGATTGTCCATATAGAGGTTGTTTTTTTTTGCTTGCTGTCAGCAAATTTCTAGCAGCTTTTTGCTCTGCCTTAAAAAGTTAAAAACTCGTCCAAACCTCGTCGAACCCTCTTCAACCCTCTTCGTCAAGATGTAAATGATGACACAGTTGATATGTTGCATTTTCTACAAATATAGAAGACCAACATTGCTGATGAAGATGCTATATTCTTTTTGTTAGTTTTTTCAGGAAGTTTCTGTAAAATTATGTCATATATTTGTATAAAAATTTTTCTTTTAAATGTGTTTAAAAAGATTTCTTTAACTTTTTTAATAAAAAAGTTATTATTTTGGTCATAATACTAATAGATAATGCAAATATACCTATTATGTTTTCACTTTGAAGCTTTTTCTAAAAAATATTTTGAAAAATGTAAAAATTGTGCTACTCTGCCTTAAAAAGTTAAAAACTCTTCATCAATGATATAAATGATGACACAGTTGATATGTTAGTAATATCAGTAGTAAGTAATATTAGTTAAAAATGTAAGAGGTAATTACTTTGCATTTTGCTCATATCAGTCTCATTTTTTTAGTTTTTTTACAACTAATATAGAAATCAGGGAAAAAGAGTTATTTTTACTCCACACACACACACACACAACACACACACACACACACACACCATGTGTGTGTGCGTGTGTGTGTATATGTATGTATGTATGTTATGATAGACCTAAATATCTTATTAATTTTTTTTTTGATAGACCTAAATCTCTTATTAGTTTTTTCTTCACTAGATTAACATTTATTCATCGGTTTATCATTTGTGACACTATTGAAGAAAAGATTGTAGAGTTTTTTAAAGATAAGCAAGATAAATCTCAAGTGTAAGTTTTTCAATAATTGGGTATCATATGGGCTATGCTAATGCTGACCTAATCCCGTTCTTTACTAAATTTTGTTTATCTAAATTTTTTCTTTGCTTTTTAAAGGCTGAATTTACAAGTAAGTAAGTATACACCTTGAATGCCAAATATTTTACTTTTACCTCACTTTAAGATTGTTATTAAAAGTAATAGTGAATAGTAGAAGTTACAAATGTGTTAATTGTATGCCAGAGAGTTTATTAGGTCAGTCATCTTGCCCCACTTTATCTTATTTTATTATCAAATCCCTGGGTAATGTATTTCAAAACTTAAAATATTTACAAGCATCTTTCCCCAAGCAGCCTAGAATTTTTGTGACTTACCCTCTCCCCCCTCCTTGGCAGAGTTAAATTTGCGATCCTTTTAAGCATGTTTAAATTTTCTTTGTACTTTTTGACATCAATGTCATCTTATCCTTATGGAATGCCTTCTTTGTCCCATTCTCTTCTAGCAGACTTAGCTTTGAGTTATGATGCCTCCAGTTTTTGCATTAAAATAAATAATCATTGAAATAAACATTTCTTTACGCTTACTTTTTTCAGCATACAACATACAAATAGTATTTTAAACAAATTATTTTCATTGCAATAAGTTTATTTAAGTTTATCTACTGTAATGGTCATGTTAGAGGTATTATCAGTGAAAACTGTAAAGACATTTTTATTTAACTTGAATTTATAATCAAATATCTCATATTTGATAATTTTCTCATATTTTTTTTCAGACTTATTCAGTTGCCTTTTTGTGTCTTGAACTACTAAAGTATGTATAACCAATTATTGAATTCAATAAATTAAATGAAAACATTTATAGCATAATAGTTCAGTGTCTTGTATATATATATAAATATATATAGTTTTTTTATGAACGCAGAAAGCTTTTCATATAAAATTTTCATCTGAAAAAAAATCTTCAAAATCTGTTGAGTTTTCTGAAAAATCCATCCTTCTATGGAATACAGTTGGCATATCTGGAGGGGAACTTCAAACGATGCTCTTTCTTGTTTAGACAAGGTGTAAAAACGTATTGTAAACATTATTAGACCAGCTCTTGCAGCCAACCTTTGACCATTGTCACATCGTAATGTTGCTATGTCATAATGTTGCTTCCCTTTCTCAATTCTATAATGGGCACTGCTCTAAAGAGTCAGTGTCTTTTGTGCTATCCACTAAAATTCATTCTTGTGTTACTTTTCATTCAACTAAGTCTCATCCTTTTACTGTGACTGTTCCTAAGTGCTCTGAAAATTTTTATTCGTCTAGTTTTTTTCCTCAAACATCAGTCCTTTGGAATTTGCTTTCTTTAACTTGTTTTCCAAATTCATATAATTTGCAATCTGTTAATCGTTATCTTGCTCTATAAATTTCATATTTTCTCATCCAGTAACTTCCAACTCTAATAGTGGTTGCTTGCAATCTTGTTGGAAATAAAGATGTTAAAAAAAAAAGTTTAAAAAATAAGCAATTAAAATTTGTATATCAAAAAAACTATTGATTTATTTAACAGAAATATGGTACAACTTTATTCTTTATGAGAAAATAATTTTTTTTAATTATATATTTATCGTGTCATATCCCTGTTTATGCAGGTGAGCTTCATATATAAGAAGTAAATTCTCATTAGAAAGTTTTAACATTGGAAATAATTTGAAAAACAATTCGTTTTTATGGCATTTGTAATGATGCTGATCAAATTTATCTCAGTACTTGTATTCCAAACAAATCACCATACATAGGTACATAGTATAATACTTCACCATATATAGGTACATAGTATAATACTTACAACATTTTGATGTGCATTTTAAAACCTTGCTTAATTGTACAAAGGCTTGTTTTCTATTGTTTAAGAAGGCTGGTTCTCTATTTTTTATAAAGGTTGGTTCTCTATTGTTTATGATAGCTGGTTCTCTATTGTTTATGAAGGCTGGTTCTCTATTATTTATGAAGGATGGTTCTCTCTTGTTTAAGAAGGCTGGTTCTCTATTGTTTAAAAAGGCTGATTCTCTATTGAAACTTGATGTACTAATTTTTCTCAAAATATTTTTTGATTGGCGTTGTGATAAAACTGTTCATTTTAATTTATTGTGTAAAACAGATAGTTTCTTAATCCAGTGTAAACTATTCATTAAATTTGCAAAATTTGTAATTATAAACAAATATTATAAAATATTTGTTTATAATTACAATATATATTATTTGTAAATAAAATATATTGTAACTATATTTGTTTTTTAGGCTTTTTCACTCATCACTCATAGAAAAACTATAAAAAGTTGAAAAAAAATTAGAGACAACTCAGCTAAAAGCGAAATTAAAAGAAAAATAAGGGAAAAGATATTCCGGATTTTTTCCGGATATTTTATCCGAACAATTTTCCGGATTTTTAAAATATGACTTGAATGATCTATGATCACAGTTTAAAGTTTTTCTTACTTGAAAGTAAATAAAAAATTAATTAAAAAAATTATTATTTTAGATTTCGCTTAATTCCAGTTAAAACTTTTTAAACAAAAATGTAAAAAAGTTTTTTAATTTCTTGATTATAATTTTATAATATGTTAATGTTAACTTTTTATTAATGATGCTTTTTATAAAATGATTATTTTAAACTTTATAAAATTATTATTTTTGAAGTTTTTATATAATTTTGCTTCATTTGAGACCCAACAAAACATACTTTTGAAAAACTTCTTTTTTTTTTATAATATTAGGGACCATTTTTGAATAAAATTTTTTGTTATGGGTGCCTCAAGACCCTTGAACATTTAATGAAATGTTCAAGGGTCTTGAGGCACCCCTAACGAAAATTAAAATTTTTTACTTATTTCAACCCTGGGGGGGGGGGGTTTTCTCTCTATTTTTATGAGTGAATATGATAGAATATATTATGCTGATTCAGAATCATATAAAAACATAGGTGTAAAATCTCAAAGACAGTACTAAAATTTAATATTAATGTTTGAAAAATTACACTAAAAACGCTGATAATTGCCATCTTTGGCAATTATCAGCGTTTTTAGGGGAGAGTTGTGCTCAGTGAAGTTGTGCTCAGTGAAGGGGGGAGTTCAAGTTGTGCTAATATAATAAAGATTCACACAAGTCATTAAAGGGGAGATCTAGTCATCTAAAAAACCATACCTCCCTAAGTGGTATTAAAAACCATAAAAAGTTGGTAACTTTTTGGAAATATTTTCTATTACCTCTAATATATATTTATATGTTTGTTTTACTTAATTTATCATATATTTTATTTCTAATCATATATCTGTCTAGTTCAATTTTTAGTAGTTCATATTTTTTGATTTTTCTAGTAATTTTAGATTATATGCAATAAACATTAAAAGTTAATGAAGCACAACGAAGTCAATTATAAAAATAAAATAAATTTAAAAAAGTCAGCAAAATCAAGTAGAGAATTTTTTTAATTAATGCTGTATATTTTAATAAACGATTAGTCATTAAAAAAAAGACTGCATAGATATTTTTTATTTATATACACAGCTTCCTACAACATTTTTTCATAAAATGGTCTTACAAACTTTCTTACAATGTCGATCTGCACCATATCAAATATTATTGCTAGTCTCCTTAAAAATTATTTTTTGAGATATTCAGATAGTTGCTGTGAATGTATTTTGTCTAAAGCCGGAAAGTTTACGATGCAGCCAACATTAAACTTGTTAGCAAAATACTAAGCAGTGATTTTGATTTTGATTCAGGTAATGGGGGATCAAAGTAAAGTCTCTAAAAATCCAGACAATAATTACAAAAATTCCAAATGATTTGGTAATGTTGCTTTTACTGCCACTGCAATATATCACAATGTTTTACCGATGATACTAAATGTTTTACTGGAGATACCAAATGCAATTATGTGTTGATCATAATGAACTTAAAAGCAACCGGATCATAAAGATGTTTAATTAGCCATTGCATCTCCATGTTTAATTTTGTCAAGACTCTTTTTGAACTGAACAAAAGAAAAATATTAAAGAGGGAATTATTTAACATTAATTAAGAGATTCATCTACTTGGTGTATTTCCAGTAGAGTCATCAACTAGTGAAAATCAGATTTTAGATAGAATGAACTTTATTAGTATCAACTTGCACGAACTACTTCTTTAATCTCTTTAAATTCGATCCACGAAATTTAACAAACAAAGCTGTTGCGCAGAAAAACAAGTTAAGAAGCAAAGAGTTAAAGACTGGCTCTCACTTCTTTTATCTTATTAGAATATTCAGCTTTTAAGTAATACAGAAAAAGATCACCAATTTTTATGATTTTTAATACCATCAAACATTTTAGAGATTTTAGATTTTAGAGGGGTAGGAAAAAAATCATACATTTTTAAATACTAATATAATTCTATATGTATATGGGCAATTCCGTGAGAGTGGTGGTCGTAACATTTGACACTCTTTAAGCTTTTAAAAATGAACCGAAAATGGAAATGACTTGAAACTTTCCAGAAATGTGAAATACTATCTTATAATTTAGTATCTAAAAGTTACAGAATTAAAGTCAAAAATTAACTCTACGTTGCGACCAAAATCAACAAATTTCAAAAATTAACTCTACGTAGCGTAAAAACAACTTTGTCAGACTTAATGCAGCGAACGGCTTGATTCAAAAAAAATCATTGAGTGCGTGTATTTAGCACATATTGATGTTATTATATGCTTAGTTGTATACAGGGCCGGCGCTAGTATTTTTTGGTTTTTGAGATAGCTAACTTCCAGACATGGAGCAAACTCCAAACATATATATATTTATACTTATGTCAAATAAGGATGCTTTGCAAAAAATTGCGATAATTGGAGCTTGGAAACAAAATAGCCCCAAAATTTTTGCCTAGTCTGCCCCAAACGTGAGAGCAACAAGTTGATAAAATATTTTTTGTACTATTTTTAACTAGGCTAATATTCATCGATAAATTTTAAGTTTTATAGTATAATATCTTAGTGTTCAAAAATTATAACAATATAAAATTTGCAACCCCCTCAAATTGAGGGGGTTGCAAATTTTATTTATTACAGGGTTTCTTCACAAAACTGTAAGTAGCAAGTGCTGTGAAAATAAAACCACATTTTGTAAAAATAGACCAAGGTTATGTGCAGAATTCAACAAAATCAATAAGAAAATATGTTTTTTTTTAAAGCCGAGGCCAAAACAATCAAGGCCAAGGTCAAAAGTTTTAAGGCCAAGACCAAGGCCTCAATTTTTGGCCTTACAGCCAGGTCAAGGCCAAGGACTAACATCTCTGCTTTTACATGTGATCAAACATTTAGAATCTACATTTAATATTTTAACTGTTTTGACATAAAAAACTGGTATCATAGCGCTTGTCTTGGCCATTCAGTTTGGTTCTAACCATGGCACCCACAGTATTTTCTGATGCTTTAGATATGACACTTTCAGGTATTATGCACACTCCAAACCTAGGTATGTTCATACTAAGTTCTTTTTAAAGTTTAAAATTTATACTCATACAAGATTTACAACCCCCTCATTTTGTGGAGGGAGAACTCTTACACGGTCATAACTTTTAAACACTAAAATATTTTTAAATAAAATTAAAAATCTGTCGATAAACTTAAATTTTTTATAAAAAAATAAAGTTTAATATTTAAATAAAGCACTGCTCTCACGTTTGAGGAGGTAAAAAGGTCTTTTTGGGGTATTTTTGTTCCCAGACTTCCATCACAGTAATTTTCTGTAAAACATTCTCATTTGATACAAGCATGAAAAAACTTAAATTTTAAGTCTGTACAATGGCTGAACGTGTCATATCTGAAGTATGAAAAAGTCATGCGGGATAACTGAAAAACCTTTACTACTTTCTGAACACATCTAACTTCACTTTAGAATAAATAATCTCCTTCTCCATTTATAGCGTTTTGTGTTTATTTTCTTTGTTTTTTAAAACAAAGACACTAACAATAGATATCAACAAAAAATAAAAATTATGATATTAAAAGCAGTTCAATTATAATATAATTATAAACAGTTATGTAAATTATAATATCATTAGAGGCAGGTATGTAAGTTATAAACTTATTATAGGCAGTTGTATAAAAGTATATTTTTAGAAAGCAATTTTGCGTAAAAAACAACTATTATTATTACTGATTTGTGTATTGTGTATCCACCCTAATCATTTGCGTAGATGTATTGTGTATACATCTAATCATTTGCGTATTGTGTATCCATCTAATCATTTGCGTATTGTGTATCCATCTCATCATTTGCCCACGGTTTAAAACCTAAATGATGACTTTAATTCGACATAGTTTGAACAGGAACTTTTTTTTTTTTTACTAAATCCTTTTTTGCTTACTTTTTAATTGTTACGCAGGAAATTTTGTTTAAAAAATTTAAGTGATTATTTACACAAGTTATACCTATAAAATTTTATATTGGCTTATAGTGACCTCTTTACTTGCTTTTTATCTAATGAATTCCCTTATGTCTTAAAATAGTTTAATTTCAAGTCGATTTGTATTAAGTATCATGACATTTGATACTTAATAGAAATCGATTTTTGACATGTTTGTTTACTTTAAAATATGATTGTTCAGTCATTGTTTGCATTTGTAAATTTAAATGGTTCATTTACGATACTTTACTCACTCTTCCATTCTCAAATTTCTAATTCTTAAAGTCTCGTTTTCAAATCCTTTGAACAAAGTTTGCATTCTTACTTGAACACTTGCGATTAAGTGAGTATAATTCCGTTTCTAATCCAAAAACTATTAAGTTTATTATTGTCAAACAATAAAATCTTCTTTTCCCTTGCTTTTACAAATCTTTTATCTTTTTTGATGTTCCGTATTATTATTATTATTTTTTTTTTTTTTGCTATTTCTTACTACTATTATTTTTTTTTTGTTCTTTATTATTATTACTTTTTTTTATTTCGTAATACTATTATTATTTGTTACTTCTTAATACAATTATTTTTTGTTATTCATTATTAATATTTTTTTTTTGTTGTTCCTTATTGTTATTATTATCTGTTATTACTATTATTTTTTATTACTATTAATTATTTCTTTAAACCTTATTACTGTTAATCCTAAAAATTATTGCTGTTAAACATAATGAATTATTGCTGTTTGAGAAAAATTATTTTTTTTGTGGTTGCCATTGGTAACTTATAAGATTGGTATAAACATTTAACTGTTGCATTTTTGTACTATGGTAGAATCATGTTTTGATGTTTTGGGTGTTTTGTAAAAAATCACGGTCATTTTTACTCTTATAAAAAATCACCGTAGAAGGCTGAGGACAAAAAAAACCCTTGAATTTAGACTTCCTTCTTGCCCCTATGTTAGGACGAAAAGATTTTGGATCAACGTTTGGGTTCAAATTTAAATTGTATTAAAATATATTTAAGTGTTTAAGGTTTTCAGCTGTGTCTTTATTTATATATCTTCCCAAAATAAGTAGACTGAGAGCTTGGCATAGCTATAACTTAATTCTCTAAATATTGTTTAACGAAATTTCAATTTTGACGATAAATTTTAATTTATCGTCATTAATCTATGTAATTTTTTAATATACTAAATAGACTGTTGTTTTTTGTTTTTAAAAAAAAGTCTATTGCAAATGGGCTGTGGAATCCAAGTTTTAAAGCTTTCAAAATTCCATTTTGAGTGACCATAATTTTTGAATCTTTATTTCTCATGAACATATAAAAGTTTTTAGTATGAACTTTTAAACGATATGATTTTTTAAAAGTTTGATTAAAATGTTACTAGAATCTAAATTTTAAAAATGTAACATGCGTAATTATATATATATATATATATATATATATATATATATATATATATTATATATATATATATATATATATATATATATATATATATATATATATATATATATATATATATATATATATATATATATATATATATATATATATATATATATATATATATATATATATATATATATATATATATAAATATATATATATACATATATATATATATATATACATATATGTATATATATATATATATATATATATATATATATATATATATATATATATATATATATATATATATATATATATATATATATATATATATATATGTTTGTTGTTAAAATAGATCCAAAAGGTGTTTGAGAAAATCATAATTGCACCGGTCAACCAAGACCAGCAGCTTATTTATTATAAAAAATAATTGAGTATTTTTAAAAACCTTTTAGCTGCATTTGTCAATGTTAATTTTGTGAATAAAAATAAAGCGTTCTATCAAACATGATAATTTTAATCTTTGAAAAATGCGGCTTTGCCAGACTGGTATATATAAATTTTGTTAGACAAAATCAACATAAAAAACATAAAATAGTTTTTCTAAACATCCATTAATAATTTTTAAATCTAATAATAAAAAAAAACCAATGAATATTTTAACACTTAATTTTTTTTTTAATTTTAACTTTTTTGTTTTTACCCAAATAATAAATACGATTTTATGTTGAAGAATTTTAACACGTGTATTGTTTCAAGTTATTCAAGGTTGGATTTAGAATAAGATTTGAAAGTGTTACTTATAAATTGTATGCATAAACATGACGAAGTATTAACTTTGAAAAGTAGTTTCCCCTCTTTTACATGATTAAAAAAATAAAACTTTGGTTATTGTTCAAAGATTTTTATAAGAATTTATGTAAATTTCCCATAAATTTTCTTGTAAATAAAAGTTTTTTTGAACACTTTTAAGTATGTTGTTTTTGTTCACTATGATTTTATATAATTTTTTAATTTATAAACAATCATATTCTTTAGAGAGCCTGGCTATTCAATGACACTTGGAGATATAACTTCGTTGATCGCATGATTTCAACATATTTTGTATTATGAATGAAAAAGAATTTCATTTTGATACTCACGAATAAAATAAATTTAACTAATTGTTGTTTTTATTAAATGTTTCCCGATATAAAAAATTTCATTATTTTAAAACGATTTTGGAAATAAATATTTTTATAACTGCTTGCATTCTTTTTTTATTTTATTTATTTATTACAATAGATAAATAGTTGGCTTGTACTAGGTTGTTTTTTTTGTATATATTGACTTGTTTCTATTGTTTAAAATTCCGGGGAACTTATTTGAAATATAGAAATATAGAAATATAGAATTGTTTATGAGCGCAGTTTGTTCATTTTAACTTTACGTAATGTGTAACCTCCGTCTCTTGACACTGTTTCCGTCGTTTTTACGGAAATGCCACAGCACCTTAAACGCCAGAATAGCAGTCGTTTTTTTCGTTAGAAGATCTGCAGAGACTTAAGTATGTTAAAATTGAACTAGTAAAGTAACTACATTAAAAACGCATAGAGTTTGTCTTATTTAAGTTTTGGAGCTTAGATCCGCCAGCTTTTATTAGCCATCCGGCTTTAAAAAGTTAGGAATGAATCTGTTTCTGCTACTATTAAGTATTGGGTATGCAACATCACAACTTACAGGTGAGATCAATAAACGTTTATTTAAAATATCCAGTTTTAGTATATAAAAATTCTATTTTTCCATACAGTAATAATTTTTTATTTGTTTTCGTGCTAAAAAAGGAACTGCTCTCCAGATCATTAAATAAAATCATTTTTATAAAATCATTTTCATAGTTATCTGTAAATATTTGTAATCGTTAATAAATACAAAAGGTAATTATAACAGTTAATTGAATAAACATAAAAAAAAATTTATTCTCAGTTTTCAATTTTAAAAAAATTCAATGTAAATTTGATTTTTCAAGCATTTCTGATGGTTTACATTAAACGATTTTTTTTTTCGGTTTACATTAAACGATTTTTTTGTAATATCGTTTTAACTTTATAAAAACATGTTGAAGATTTTTCTAAGATAAAAATTGTTGCAAATATGTAACATAATATGACAAAAAATTCTTTTCATTTTTTATACACTTAAGAAACATAAGTAACATAAATTTTTTTTTTAAAGCATATTCAACAGTATTTAAAATTAATAAAGCTATTATTACTTCTTTCAAAAGAATTTTACGTAATAAATACATTATCTTATTTACTTTTTCTTTTTTTTTCTCTTATGATCTCTGCTATCTTCATGTTATGTGGGTTCTATAGGTGGCGAGGTACGATTTAGTCTTTATTATTTTTATTTTTCAAGAGCGGATCAAAAAAATTTATAAAGAAGGAACATCCTAAACAGTGCATTTTTTAAATAAAAAAATATTCATTTATTATTTTGGAAATTTGTCATCCGCCCTTGAACTTAAATTATCTTTGTTATTATTAAAGACTATTTAAATATTGCTTGTTTATTAGTATAATATTATTAATAGTATCTTATTTTAAGTAATTAGATTTGTCTTATTATACCTGCTTATATATGTTTTTAGGGTACAATAGCTCCAAAAGGTGAAAAAGGGGCTAAAGGAGATGTTGGAGAACCGGGCGACGTTGGAATTACTGGACTTGCTGGAGATGCTGGATCTCGTGGACTGGAGGCGAGCTCTCGTTTAATTTTGTAATAGTTATGGCAAATTTAAAGTTTGGCATTATAAAAATCAAGTAATTTTTAATTAGGGTGATGAAGGTAAAGATGGTGAAGAAGGAGATGAAGGTGATATTGGTCCACCTGGTCCGCCTGGTGTTGCTGGTGGTAATCAAACGGTATATATAGTTTTTAAAAAATACATTTTGATAAAAAATACCGATTTAATGAATTGACTTCAACGCATTAGCAGAACTGATAACTTAAGAAAGTTTTTATTTGAGGTGTGGACAACCGGATTAAGTAAAGTTCCTGTCCATACGAAGTTCTTATTCATTTATGCAAATAATAACTATTTTTTATAAATCAGTTTACTTAATATATTTTTTTAATTGATATACTTTAAATAAGTTATCGGTAAAATGCGAACTTTTTTGCGTACCAAATCATTATATTTAAATATAAATAAATATCATATTATTATATAATACATTATTAAGTGTAAATACTTTGACTGACTAATAGCGAATTACAAGAATGGGCAGCGTTTAGTCGGCTAGAAAATCTATTACATAATCAACTACCCGGTGGAAAATCGGCTAGCGAATAGCTAGCTATAATCGTAACGATAAAGACAGCGATTTGGCCACGAGGATTGCTAGCTTTTTTAAATTAGCGAAAAGCTATCGATATTTGTAAAGATAAAGACAGACATTTGGTTAAGAGGACAGCCAGCTTAATAAGCTAAAGACCCACTGGCTATTGTAGCTAGCGTCATATCGTAATAAAGTTTTTTTCTAAAAAAATTTGATATTTAGCTATCAACCAGCTATAGATTTGTAGATATTTTGTAGCTAGCTGCAAAGCTACGATATGTAGCTAGCGACACATTGCTGCAAAATCGCAATGTTTAAAGTTCGATTATCCTCATAATTATAATAGACTCAACACTAAAAATCGAATTTTTAAAGATGTTAAAGACATTAGGAAAAAATAAAATTGGAAAAAAAAAATCGCTAGAAAATCGCTATAAAGCTCGCTAGTCGCTAGCTCATTTCCCACCCGGTACCAATTGCAACCAGTTTACAAAAAAGTTTTTACCGACTATTTATTTTTTTATTTTTTATTTTATTTATATTTATATATACTTTGTTTATACGTAACGGAGATTAATAAACAAATTGCTTTATGAATTATAAAACAGTTTTGTAAAATTAGAAAATAAATAAAATTTAAACAAATAAAAAAATAATTTTTAATTTAAGAACTTGTTAAAGAAGTTAACGAGTATAACCAACGAATTACAACAACAAAAATGATATATATACCGGATATAGGGCGTATTACATGTATATATATATATATATATATATAATATATATATATATATATATATATATATATATATATATATATATATATATATATATATATATATATGTACATATATATGTGTCTTTATATATATATATTTTTTTTTTATAAAAGTATTTTTAAAAAAGGGGGGATTTAATGTAGTTTTTTAGTTTTTATTTATATATATATACATATGCATATATATTTATACATATATATACACATATATATGTACATATATATATATATATATATATATATATATATATATATATATATATATATATATATATATATATATATATATATATATATATATATATATATATACATATGTATATATATACATATGTATATATATATATATGTATATATATATATATATATATATATATATATATATATATATATATATATATATATATATATATATATATATCAAATATCAAGGGGTTTGTTAATATTTTATTGTTATGAACAATTATATTAGTGGTTGTGCTAGAGTTGCACAACACCTAATATAGTTTTTTTTGTTAATAGATGAGGAAATGGTTTCGGGGTTTGTAGGCAAGTTAGTTACTAATATTTAATATAAAACTAATGTTATTAATATATATTTACATAATAAATATATAAATATAATATCACCATGATCGGGGTTAAATTTGGACGGTTTTAAATTGAGTTAAAAACTATTTAATCAATTGTTATGATTTTTATTTTATAATGATGCTATATATTTATTAGTTAATATTATACTAAACATTTATTCGTTTTCTTGTGTGTGAGTATAGTTTTGTTTACTCCTCATTAGTTTTTGCAATGTTGAGTAAAGAGTCTGAAAATCAAAAAAAAAATTGAAATTTTATATTGAAAATCTATCGTTCTCATATTCCATTATTTCAAAAGCATATAAAGTTCCAAAATCAACTGTTGAAATTATTATTAAATGTTATAAGGAAAACAAAACTGCAAAAAGAAACTCAGGAAGTGGTGGAAAATCAAAATTTATTTCCAAAAAGAAGGCAAAATCAATAGTTAAATTAATTCATCAAAATCAATCAATCATCTGACTCAGTCACAGCAGGACTTAGCTACGAAGTTTAAATGCAATAAAGCTTTCATTTAAAAAGTATTCAAAAAAGAAAATTTGAAAGCATATTACAAAAAAAAATACCAAAATGGTCACTTGATGGAGAAATCAAGGCAATGGGATGAGCTAAAAATTTGCTTAAATTAATTATAAAAAAATTTATGCATTTTAGAAGGCAATGAAAATTACTATTAAAAAGATCACTCAATGCTTCCAAGTAATCAATGTTATTATCAGTCAAAACATTATAAAGCTTCTTTCAAATTTAAGTACATTTGAGTAAGAAAATCACTTCCAAGTTCCTTGTTTGACAGGCTATTTGCAGTTGAGGTTTTAAATGCTCTCCTTTCATAACAAATCAATCTGTGACACCAGATCTATATGTGAGTGAATGCTTTAAAAAACGGCTTCTTACTCTATTTAAAAAGCACAAATAATCAACCTTATTTTGGCCAGATCTGGAATTGATCCATTATTCCAAAAAAGTAATTCAGTGGTATAAGAAAGAGTCGATTATGTTTTAAAGGATGCTAATCCTTTAAAACAAAATCAATAAAACAAATATACTGAGCAACAAGTTATTGAATCTTACTGGGCAATTGTGAAGGGAATTTGAGGAAAAGAGGCAAATGTGAAAATAGTGTTAAAAATTTCTGAGATTTATGGATTAATTCTACAAAAAAAGTGGCGCAAAGTAAAATTGTGGAGATGATGGCGGGTACTTTACAAAAAATTAAATTACTTGTATGTTGTGAAGTTAAGGCTAAATTTGTTTTTATTGAAATAAAAATTAATCATGTAAGCATCATAAAAAAAAAATCATTACAAATGGTTAAGTTGTCTTTGAGAATACTCAATTTAAAATAATCCTAATTTCAAATTATAATATATAATTAATGTATATAACTAATATAAATATAATGTATAAATAATGATGACATTTAAGATTGATTGAAAGAATAAGATTCATTCAATCAATCTTATTCTTTCTTTGTTAAAAAAAGAATAAGATTGATTGTTTTTAAATTTTAAAAATGGTTAAATGTGTGTTTTGTGAGGCAGAATGTGTGTTTTGTAAGGCTATATAAAAAAGAATTATTTTATTACACATTGTTGTAATCTTATCAAGAATGTCTTCACTTGGATGCAGTGAGCTTGAATAATAAATTATAGCAGTCATAGTCAAAAAGTATATTTATCGTTTTTAAGACTGTAAGTAAACATATGTATTAAAAAATTGAAAGTTATTAGAGTATTGAAGTATTGAAAGTTACTAAAATCTAAACCAACATTTTGGTTATCCCACAAATTATGGGAGTATTTTAAAAAATGCAGAATAATATGGCATAATATTCTGCATACACTGACTTTTAAAACGTCTTGTTGCACCTGATAATAAGTAATTGATAGTTTAAAAGTAATGAGAAATAATATTTTTTATATATGGATAAGCATGCAATTTTATAGTAGTTTAAAATCATTTTTTTATTTTTATTTTAATTAGTAATTTTTTTTTTGTGTGTGTGTACTTAAGATCATTTTGTATACTTTAGACAGTTGTTGTTATTTATGGTCCTCCAGGACCTCCCGGAAATCAAGGTCCTATTGGACCACCAGGCCCTAAAGGATTCAATGGAGAAACTGGCGAAACTGGTATTTCTGGACCACGTGGTCTTACAGTAAGTTTAAAGTAATTTAATCATTCTTGTATGACATTGTTAAGTCTCAAACCATATACTTTTACAATAAGAACATTTTTTTATTATTCAAGAAGTAACTTTAGGACAATTTTTTATGCTCATACCAGTTTTTTGTTAAAAAAAAAAAAAAAGTGTTTTGTAATAAAAGTGTTTTGCTAAAAAATGTGGAATTGGATGGGGACAAAAATGGCTTCCAATATAAACATACAAACTTTTGAATTTATCTGGCTTAGTTACTTACTGAATAGCAAAATGTCATAAATTCTCCTGGTTGTTATTTTATTTATGTAAATATATTTCTGATTTTTTATTTATGCATTGGAAGTTGTAGTTAAAAAAAATTGTAAAAAGTATGTCTTTAGGGTGACCCTGGAAATGTTGGTCCAAAAGGTTTGCGTGGTAAAGATGGACGTGAAGTATGTTATTTTTTTTATAAACATTTACTGTTTCATGATTTTTTAATAATTTATGAATGTTTATGTTTATACTCAATAACTTAGGATATATTTTTGAAAATAAACAATAATTTTTATCTATTATACTATTAAATACATTTGAATCCTAAATTAAAAACCCTTTAAACTGTACCAACTCAATATCTTATTGACATCAGATAAGATCAATAGATATTTTTTAAATATGAGAAAATTGATAGACTCTGAATTAGTCCTAAATTATTTTACCCTAAGAAACGTAAATCTTTATTTTTATAAATTTGGTACATTAAAGTAGTACTCTGAATTCTGGAATTGGAAGTCCTACTCTAGGACTTTCTATTTGAGAATAGTATGAATTATCTCAGTAACAAAACCATTATAATCCTCAACAACAAAGTGATGTTTAGATCTAAATAAGAAGTTCCCAAATAATTAAAATGACTGTTTGGCAAACTTGACATCCCATAATTTTTTATTTTAGTCAATTTTTATAGGAAAATATAAACTTTTATTAAGCTTTTATTTAAATTTGTGGCGTAGTTTTTGAAAAAAAAGTTTTTTATATCACTTATATTAGCAAAAAAAATAAAAATATATATATATATATATATATATATATATATATTTATTTGTCCTTGAGGATGTTGAATATTTAATAGGCATATTAATATATAGTCCTTGAGGATGTTGAATATTTAATGGGCATATTAATAAGAAAATATTTTTGATTCAATAAAATGAATGTTATTTGTATTTAATAATTAATAGTATTATTTTTTGAAAACACTTTTTCCAAATTTATAATTAACATTTCAATTTGCCTTGAATTTTCTTTAACATAAAAACGAAATTAGAAAACTAATAATTTTATTTAATTATATATTATATATAATAAAATTAAAAAATTCTCTGCAGCAAAATATCAACGTATCCCTAACAAAAATCAGGCTATATTATAGCCTGATTTTTGTTAGGGATACGTTGATATTTTGCTGCAGAGAATTTTTTAATTTTATCATTACTCGATGATTGTTGAGTTAATTATTATATAGTATTATGGTTTAATTTTTTAATTGCTTATAGATTTTTTAGTTATAAATATTTTTTTAGGGACAAAAAGGAGAGCCAGGAAGTAAAGGATTAATGGGAGTTACTGGTAATCCAGGTCCTTCAGGTCCTCCGGGCCAACGTGGGATAAAAGGTGTGAAAGGAGAACTTGGGGAACCTGGTCCAAAGGGAGCTAAAGGAGATGTTGGTCAGAATGGAGAAGCTGGAGAAAATGGTTTACCTGGTATTAAAGGAGATACAGGAGCGCGTGGTCCAAATGGAACAATTGGATTCCAAGGAGCAGCTGGTCCAGAGGGGCTGATGGGACCTTCTGGACCTACTGGACCTGATGGTGTAAAAGGACCTCAAGGACCAAGAGGTTCTGATGGTCAGCAAGGAACTGCTGGTTTAGCTGGTGAGAGTGGTGATCCAGGACCATCTGGACCTGTTGGACAACCTGGACAAAGGGTAAAACACTAATATACAACTTTTAATATATAACACTAATATATAATCTTTAGATATTAAACATTTAAGTTTTTATTTATTTGTCTTCTTTTCTTTCTTTTTACTTTTTAATATTACTTATATTTTAACTGTATTGTTAAGATTATTAGGTATATTTTATATTTTCCACTTTTTTTTTTATTTAATTATGTTAATTTATGTTTTGTATTATATAATAATATTGTTGTTGTTGATTTTATTTTTTGTTTATTTTATTTAGGTGTCACTCCTTTGACTACTTTTTAACTATATGGGTGACACCTAACCTGATTTGTAAAATTATAATTAAATTTGTAATTTTTAAAGTTTAGTTAAATAAATGAATGAATATTGATAATTTTTGCACCAATTTTATTTTAGGGTGAACCTGGTTATCCTGGCATTCGTGGAGATTCTGGAGATCGAGGTGACACTGGACCTCAAGGTCTTGATGGTCTTGATGGACCTCCTGGTGATCGTGGATTACCTGGGCCAGTTGGATTGCCTGGTGCACCAGGGCCTGTGGGAGAACGAGGAGAGCCTGGAAAGCAAGGCCCTAGAGGATTTCCTGGTCAACAAGGAGAGCAAGGTAGTCCTGGTATTCCTGGTGTTGTAGGAGAAGCTGGTGATAAAGGTCCACGTGGATTGCAAGGACAAGTTGGTGTTGCTGGACCTCCAGGAGAAAGTGGTTCTGATGGGCGTCCTGGCCCACCAGGACCTAATGGTGCTCCTGGGCAAAGAGGAAATCAAGGATTACCTGGTAGTCCAGGACTTCCTGGTCTTCCAGGAATTAAAGGTCACATTGGTGAAAAGGGGTTCACAGGGCCAATCGGAGAAAAAGGCAACAGAGTAAGAGATTTGGTTAATTAAAGTTAATAATATTATTTTGAAAATGAAAATTAATTTCAACCTTAGCCTATGAAATTTTTTTCTTTGTTTTGAATACTAATGTACAAACCTAAGAAAAATTGGTTTTTTCCTTCAAAGTTTCAGAATTTACTAAGCTATAAAAAAATTTGTATATCTTTAGTCTAAAAATTGTTTAGAAAATTGAATGCAAACAATTTTTATTTTGACTAAAAATTTTGTGTTAGCACACTTCAATAATATATAAATGATGATAACAGTAAATTTGGATACATTAATTAATGTATTGGAATAAGCATAAATAATTATAGATGCATCTGCATCATATGTTTAAGGATAGACAAAAAAATCTCTACACAAGTTTTACATAATTCAGTTTGTATATTCACATTTTAGATATGTACTATTTAATGTAAATAGTATTTACAATTCTTTTTTGTTAAAATAATTATTTGCGTAATATTAAAAAAAATATTTATTAAGTTAATTTATATTTTAGGGAGAACCAGGTCGTACTGGACAAATGGGTATTCCAGGTGCTCGAGGACCTGTAGGTGATCCAGGTCCAGTTGGTTTGGATGGTAAAGAAGGTGAACGCGGTATACCTGGTAAAGATGGTTTACCTGGACCTCCAGGACAAGCTGGTTTGCGAGGTATTCCTGGACTACAAGGTGCCACTGGGGAAAAAGGTGACAAAGGGTTTAAAGGTAATAAAGGTGAGATTGGTTTTGATGGTGCTCCTGGTGATAAAGGTGAAACTGGAGATGTAGGAGATCAAGGTGCTCCTGGACTTCCTGGAAAACAAGGAGAAGCTGGTGAACCTGGAGAACAGGGAAACCGTGGAGCACAAGGTTTTGTTGGACTTCCTGGTGCTCCAGGTCCTCAAGGTCGTCAAGGAAAACGTGGTACCCCAGGAACACCAGGATCTCGAGGTGCTGATGGATTACCTGGTCGACCTGGAGAACGTGGTTATAGTGGTGAACAAGGAACTCCAGGTTCTCCAGGAGTAATTGGAGAACCTGGTCGAAAAGGTCCTCCTGGCAAACAAGGACAAAAAGGAGCCCAAGGAGACATTGGCATGCCAGGTGAGGCTGGATCACCAGGAGAAATTGGTGTTGCTGGCATACCAGGACCTCAAGGAAATCCAGGATTGCCAGGGGATGAGGTGCTTTTCTTTATACTTTATAACAAGAATATATTTTTGAAAAACTATATCATTTATGTTATTTTTGTTAATTTTGCAGGGTGAAATTGGCGAAGCTGGTGATCGTGGGCGAGATGGACAACCAGGTGGTAGAGGTGCGCCAGGACCAAGAGGTAAGCCTGGATTGCCTGGAAATCCAGGTTTACGAGGTGATACAGGAGTTCCTGGTGAGGATGGTAAACCAGGAGAAATTGGAGTGCCTGGTGCTCCTGGAAATCCTGGAGATATTGGACAACCTGGATCTCAAGGACCAATGGTAAAATTGTATTAAAATTTTGTATAAAATGAAACATTATGAGGGGCTAATGTCCCTCATTTATTATTGTTATTATTATTATAAAAATGATATATTTTAACTTGAAAACATTTCTTAAAGGGTAAACCAGGAAATCCTGGTATGCAAGGAGATGTTGGGCCAAAAGGATTTAAAGGTGCTCGTGGACCACGAGGTCGACCTGGAAAAATTGGACAAATAGGGGAAATAGGCAAAAAAGGAGAATCTGGAGAAAAAGGTGATCAAGGCTTGCCAGGTTTGCAAGGTGCTATTGGTATCCCTGGAAATCAAGGTTTACCAGGATTAGCAGGATCAGCTGGAGAGCAAGGACCACAGGGACCACCTGGTCCTGATGGAAAGTTAGGACCTAAAGGTGATAAAGGCCGAAGTGGACCTGATGGTAGACCTGGATCACCTGGACGACCAGGGCCTGATGGAATTAATGGTGTAAATGGACAGCCAGGTAAAGATGGAAGTAGAGGACCTCAAGGACATCAAGGTCCACGAGGAAAACAAGGCAATATAGGTCCTATTGGGTTACCAGGAACTTCTGGAATGCCTGGACTTCCAGGACCTCGTGGACCAACTGGTGATAATGGAGCTGATGGTAGCGATGGAAGTGATGGAGATATTGGTGATGATGGGCAAGTAGGATCACAAGGACCACAAGGAGAAGCAGGAGCTGATGGTAGCAATGGTGCACCAGGTCGTAACGGTAACCCAGGTGTTCCAGGTCCAAGGGGTGAAAAGGGTGAAAAAGGACCATCTGGTGATGTTGGAGTTAAAGGTGCAAAAGGAAATGTAGGCCCAGCAGGTGAACCTGGAGTTAGAGGTGATCGGGGACCTTCAGGAGAACCAGGTACTGATGGAGAGAAAGGAGAGAATGGTATTAAAGGAGATGAGGGTTCACCTGGACCTACTGGGGCTACTGGCGATAGAGGTGATAATGGTCAACGTGGAGATCAAGGTGATACTGGTTATATGGGTTTCAAAGGAAGAAAAGGGCCTACTGGACCCAAAGGACTTAAAGGTATGCCTGGAATTATAGGTGAACAAGGTGATATGGGACCAAAAGGAGTAATTGGTGAACCTGGACCTCAAGGAGCTCCTGGGCCACCTGGGCAAATTGGATTACCAGGAAGAAAAGGACCAATTGGTGAACCTGGATTAAAAGGATTTCAAGGAAGAGATGGACGCCAAGGAGCCCCAGGACCCTCAGGACCACCTGGTCCACCTGGACCAGCAATGCTTCCTCCTTGGTCAGGCGGTACATTAGGATCTAATGAACCAAAAGATCATTCAGATCAGAATCCAGCACAACCTCAACCAGAGAACATACCAACTGATCAAAGAAATGAAGAGAATCCATTTTACCAAGTGTATCGCTATTACTCAAGTAACAAAACCAAGACAGTTGATGAACTTACTGAAATCGAAAATAACTTTAATAATAGAGTCAAAATTTTAAAATCATCTGTGGAAGCGTATAAGAAACCTAATGGATCTAAAGAATTCCCTGCTCGTACATGCAGGGATATTTATGCATTTTACCCCGATTCAAGTTCTGGTATGTATTACATTGATCCGAATAAAGGATGTATAGATGATGCAATTTATGTTCATTGTAACTTCACAAAGTCTCATGATGAAGAAACAAAAATAACTACATGTGTTTATCCTGAAAAAACTATGGTAAATTTTTTTTTTTGCTTTGGTGTTTATTGGTGTAGTAAATTGTTTGTGCTTTTTTGCTTTGTATTTATTGATGTAGTAAACTGGTGTTTATTTAAGTACTAAATTGTAGTAGTGTTTTTACTTTGAAAATTTTTTTAACTTGTTTTTTATTATTAATCTACTTTTTATCATTTTTTAGTCTGTTGAAAAAGATTCATGGCCAACTAAATTACATACTAAAGCACAAAGATGGTTTGTTGAAGATCACGAGTTGGGAAAAGTAAATGAAAATTAACTATCTATCTATATATATATATATATATATATATATATATATATATATATATATATATATATATATATATATATATATATATATATATATATATATATATATAAATTTTTTTTCTGTAATTGCAAATAGGCTAATAATTTATATCAGTTTTATTTTACTTATTATACATTAGGGTGGAGCGATTTTCATAGCAAAAAAAAAAAAGTTTAAAAATCAATATTCCTGAGACACGAATCGATGTCTATTAATTATAAGATAAAAGTAAAAAAATATTTTTTGGTTTTGATAAGATCTTGAGGTTCCTCTTTGGATTCTAAATCCTTGACGGATCCTAATATTTTTGAATTTTTTTTTTCTAAACTATATCAACCTTGGACTCAAAAAAAGCAGAAAAAAATGCTTGTTTTATCAATAATAATTTTATTAAAAAAAAATTTTTAGTGAAAAAAATATTTGCAAAAATATACCTTAAAACCCCCGTTTTGATGAAGACGGAGGTTTTTTAATGAAAAAAACGACATTATTTTTTTCTCTTCAGTTTTAAATTAAATATTATATTCAAAATAAGCGTATTATTCTGCTTCTTTTGAGTACCAGGTTAATATAGTTTAGATGAAAAAAAATTTCAACAATATTAGGATCCGTCATAAATTTAGAATCCAAAGAGGAACCTCTAAAACTCATTTATATTAAAAAAAAAAAAAAAAAAAGTAAGGCTCTTTTTTCACCAAAAGACATCGATTCGCAGCTCAAGCAAATCAAATTTCAAAAATTTTTAAATCGATCCACCCTATTATACATACTTTGTTATTATATAATCCACTGAAAAAGTGCTTTGTTTTTATATAATGACACAGTTTGAAATAAAAATAATCTTACAAAAAAAAATGATGATTTAAATGGTTGATGAACGCATTAAATTGATTTTATTATAATTTATTGATTTGTATGTTGTTTTGATAAAATCGTTTATAATCAAATCAGCAGACTTTAAACTTTTAGTTTTTAAATCGTTGCTTTCGTTGATGTTTTTGTTGTTGCTGTTTATTATTATTTTTTAGTTATTAATATTAATGTTTGTATTTTGAACTTATTGTTTGAGACCTTGAAATAAAAAATTCTAATAAGTAATAAAAACTAAGATGAATTCTAATAAATAATAAAAACTAGTTATAACTTTACATGAATGAAACTTGGAATGGACAAAATAATTACTTTTAAGATATTTTGTTGCTGAAAAATCTTTTTTTTTTAACACTATTATTTTTTTAATATTATTATTTAGCTTTCATATGCAGCTGACCAATCACAGCTTACATTCCTTGGGTATTTGAGTCGTGAAGCTTATCAAAACGTAACATTTCATTGTCAAAATACTTTAGTATGGTATGATAAACAAAACAACGACTATAAAAAGGCCATGAAATTTAAGGGAACTGAAGATCAAGAGTTTGCATATTCTGAAGATAAACAATCTATGTTTATGCCTCATGCAGTTAATGACGAATGCTCTAATATATCTAAAGAATGGAGAACTACTACTTTGAGATTTACCAGTCGTAAATATATTCGATTACCGATTATTGATTTTGCTCCAATATCATCAGAGGACAATAATGCAATGTTTGGAGTTGAACTTGGTCCTGTTTGTTTTATGTAGAACAGACTAGTATTATACGTTGATTTATACATTCATGCATATATATATATATATATATATATATATATATATATATATATATATATATATATATATATATATATATATATATATATATATATATATATATACACAATATTTATATAGAAACAATAAGCTATATACACAAATTGTTAACAAGTTTTATGTAGGTTATTTTTAATGTGAAAGTTTTTAAAAATAAAGATTGATAATTGAGTTTCCTTTTTTACTGTAGTTCAATTTAATTAAGTTTAGTATACAATATCAATTTCCCTATCATTTAAATCTTTAGAAACTAAAAGTTTAGAGTATCAATTTCCCTATCATCTAAATCTTTGAGGCATAAAAGTCATTACCATCATCCCCTACGCCAGTAATTAGCTTAGCATGTTGAATACGTAATTTTTAAATAAATGATCTAGCAGTTTTAAAGTAGGTCGCAAATTGGAGTAAAAAACCAACTTAAAACATCATGTTTATTTCTGTTTGATAAGACAAACCATGACAAGTATGTGAAACTGTAGTGATTGTATCTATTGTAAGCTGGTTCTCCGTAAATGAAAAAAAGTCAATAGTTTCCACCAATCCATTAAAAATAGTTTCTACTTTACTATTTTTAAACAAGAGCAGCTAATTCTCAGAACCATTACTTGGTGTTTATTATGGTTAAAGTATTTTTTATTAAGATGGAGACAATAAATTTCATTCTCAAAATCTTATTGATATGATACTTTAAGTTTTTTGTTTTTGTCATCGTTGCTATGTATATTGATGACTGATTAGGTCCAACATCTTTAATCTAAAGTTTTAAAGTATCTCTTCATTTTAGAGTTAATATTAGCTATTGGTGTATTGAAACATTCATCCCCACTAGTCTTAACCTCCACTAGTTTTAATTGCCATAGTATCAAAATCAGTACATCCTTTATAGATGAGTTATTTAAGTTTTCATCTTTTGATTTTTTTGATTTTCTTTGACGGATGAATTTTTGTCAGCTACTTAATTAGAACTACAACTTGCTTTTTTTTTTTTTTCTTTGTATTTCTTTCTGCATATTGTAAACTTTTTTATCTTTTCTTACTAGCCACATACCCATCAATCAGTAATATCAAACATTTGAGGAAAAAAAAGTTTGCAGATTTTGTTTTAGTTTTCTTAAGTATTTATCATAATCTTTTATTATATATGTTATATATATATATATATATATATATATATATATATATATATATATATATATATATAAATATATAAATATATATAAATATAAATATATATATATATATATATATATATATATATATAATATATATATATATATATATATATATATATATATATATATATATATATATGTATATATATATATTTATATATATATATATATATGTTAATGAAGTTATACCATAATATTGACAAACAAGAACACAAAAAAACAACTTTAAAATAAAAAATAAAAAAATTTGCTTGCTGTGGTGGACAGTTTATTTAAAGTTAAATCAAATAACAAATATTTTCAAGCAATATACATCTACTAACACTTATCTACAAATTTTTGATACTAAATTTACAAATCAAATGTTTTGCGCATTTTTTTTTAAATAGGAGATTTTTAAATATCATTTATTAAATATAAAAAAATTTTGTTGTCTGATGAGTCAAAATACAACCTCTTCTCATCGGATAGAGTCCAGGTTTAGGGTATGAGTTGGAAAGGTGAGGGGATATTGACCTTTATTGATGACAATATGGAAGCCTTAATGTATTATGAAATTCATAAAGCCAACTTGCGACCATCGACTAAAAAAATGAGAATGGGAAACGATTTCATAATCCAGCAGGATAGCGATCCAAAACATACCGCTAAGAAAACAAAGCTATACTTTGATACAAATAACATACAATTACAAATAACATCAATGTTTTGGAATGACCATCTCAAAATCGGACTTAAATCCTATAGAAAATTTGTGTTATATTTTGGACAGAAAAACTGGCGACCGAGTATTTTGACGCAAAAACAACTTGAAAGAAGCTAAAACGAGCGGATGGGATAATATAACATCAGAAGAGGCCCAAAGTTTGGTCAACTCAATGACAAATCGATTGAGTGAGGCCATCAAGGACTCAGGTAAACGATTTGGAATTGAGTTGATTATTAATGAAAATAATGCATTGAGTTGATTATTAATCAAATTTGATCAATTTGCATTATTTTTGAACGGTACGATTAATTTTTTTTTTGCTCTTTTAATTTTTTAAAATTTAAATGCTCTTTTAAATTTTTAAATTTCCATCGCACAAAAGTTGTTTAATACAAAAATTTTGGTCATAAACACAAATTTTTTTTTTGTGCATAATGGATATAAAATAGCTAAACCAATTATTTTATTAATTGATAATTATTAAACAGTCCTAATCAAATAAATTAGCATAAAAGTGTCGTCATATTAAAATACAGTCAGAGATTTTTTTTTTCCTTCAATTTAAATAACGCCATGTGTCGCTTATATAGCACAAGTATCTGCTCTACGAGCTAACATATTTTAATCTATTACTAATTAGATATAAATGACAAAATTGAAAACAAATAAATAATAATTTTATAAGGATGAATTAAAAATAAATCATTTATTAACATCAACAACAATACGATGCAATAATTCCATCTGAACTATGTCTAAGAACTCGAACAGCTGTTCTTCCATTTCTAACAAAGTCTCTCCGTCAACGGCTTGGGTTGCCATAACTACAGATTGTATTAACAAAAACAAATTATCTGGTAAAATAGGATCATTATCTCGATTTTCCCAAGTGTATTTTTCTAGTATCTTTAAATGTTCATCATTCAAATCCATTGGCGATGACTTCAATAACAACAAAGCTAAAACTCGGGTTATTTCGACATGTTGCAATATTTGTAATAAGCTATAAGTTAAGAAATCTTTGTTACTAGTTACCATACTCTCAATAGTTATAGCAATCTGACTAAGATGTCGCAGAGCTACTGGATAATTTTCTTTAATAAGTTTACAAGAAGAAGCATCCTGCATAGTGCATAAATAATCTACTATACTAAATTGCTTTTGAATTTCAGCCGCTTGAATAAAATGATTGTAAGCTTCATCTAACTTTCCAATACTAACAAGATTGTTAGCAACTTCGTACGATACAGAAGCACCCAAGGAAAGATTACCTTAAAAACAAAATGATGTAAGACTTAAAAATAAAATGGTGTAAAATTGTAAGCTTTAATTAGTAACTCATTTTATCTGATGTTTTATTAGATTTATTTTGCAAATTATTTAGATTTATGATAACATTAATGTATAATACATTAACTATTCTTATATATTTAAAATTTTAACGCGTAATAATTATTTGTATACATAATGTACAATGCAATGTAAATTGTATAAGGAAACACTCCCACTCGTAAAATTCTTCACTAATGTAAACTCGTTATATTTATAAAACTTAAAACAAGAAAAAAACAACATCAGCACCTTATGGTCACATTCGCTGTGTAAAATAGGAAAACTTACTGAATGTGGTAATTTTATGAACATTTTAAATAAATAAGAAACCTTTTTAATTAAATATGAAAAAAAATGTTTTTGTTAAACTTTCATCTTTTAATTAGTCATTTTAGTCATTTTCTGTTCAAAGCAACGCAAACCACCAAAGCAACGCAAACCACCAAAGCAACGCATACCACCAAAGCAAGATATTTCATATAACAATTTTTTTTTTGTTAAACTCGAGTTTCCAATAACAGTCTGTCGTATTTTAAATCCCAATACTTTCTGCAGGAAAAGTGAGATATGCAAAAATTTTCTTTGAAAAATAATCTTCAAAATATTGCAATTTTCAACGACACACAAATGTGTTGTAACAGAAGAGTAGTCATTATAAAAGGTAATCAAAGTGAAATCGCTGGATTGTACCTTATAACTTTCTTTTTGATGCTAAACATTGTAGGTAGCAATACTTTTTGATGCTAACAATACGGCGATTAAAAGTTTTTAAAGTAATTGCAATAGGAAAAGTATTTTTTGTAGATGTTTACATTTTAAAACATGCTTTTTGTTTTTTTCCACAAAAAATGTATTTATAAATAGCTCAATATACTCTTTTAGTACAAATACTTTTAGTACAAAAACTCTACAACACTATTTTTAAACGTAATATCAAAATTCAGTGTTTAATAGCATTTAAGGATAAATATGATGTCTGATAGTGATCAGTTTGTTCACTATAGGGCACCAAGGAGGATTAATTATGATTGATGAAATCTTTGATGTGGTAGAAGACGGTGTGAATTTTGGGTGAGACACTTGCATCAGTTATCATTAAGTAACACCTTTTGAGATTTTCAATTTTTTCAGTGAAATCCGGCTGAAGAATGAATCCAAAAGGAGCCTTGACAACTTAATTGAAACTTTTGAGTTTTTTAATTATGTAAACAATATTGGGAACCATGTTTTTAATAGCAATGCTTAGATAAGATTGATAATGATAAGATTTGCATTAGCAACAACCCCGCTAGATTGCTCAAGACTCGAAGCTAGATTTGATTGAGCCCAGTGTTCGGAAGTTTATAGATTTGGCAAGCCATTTAGATTTGATATAACACCATGTGCAAGGGTGCATACTTGAATAGGTTTGAAGACCACAAACCATAATTGCAACTTTCATGCCACAAGCCAAAATTAATTTAACTCCATTTGCATTAATCAGTGACCAGGTTTGTTCAACTTATTGGAGTGAGTTTCTGGTAAATTTTCTGATAACAAGAATTTACCTCTTAATTCTAATGTCTGTAGTTTTATCTCTTAATTCTAATGTCTTTGCAAATTCTTTGAGCGAAAGTTTACTGTTGTGGCGGTGAGCTAGTTTCATCTCTTAACGCAGTATTGACAATGCTTAAACAAAACTTATAGCCACCAGAAATCTTGAAAGATTAAATAACATGAATCATAAAACTTAATAAACCATTGCAGTAAGCAAAAACCCGAACTGTAACAGAATCTCCTTTTCCGTCAGTGATTTTTAAGTCACTGCTGATGACCTGCTCCTAGAAAACTAATTTAAAAATTTGGCTCTATTATCTTGTTGCTTGATGTTTGGTGTTTTACAGTTCTGACAAGTTTCTTTCATCATTTGTTTGACAGGTTCGTATTTAATTGTACATTTAAAAGGAATAGAGTGTCTAATTTCAGAGCATTTCATGGTGGCAGGACACTACTTGGACCTAAAACCAAAATATAAATATTTTTTATTTATAATGCAACTTTTTTGGAAAATTTGTGTAAAACTTTCAAGATATTTATTTTTAAAGAAATTAGAAACTTGTCAAAATTATACTTCCTGAAATCTATTATTATTTCTTAATGGCAAAGACTCTTTAAATATATAAGTTCAGCTGCAGTGGCATCTTTTGCTGCTAAAGATTGAAGGTTTTCCCTAAACTTTATTTAGAGCATTTATGGGGCAAATCTTTTCCTAAAGGGTCGAGGCATGTGCTGCAACGCACACATGGTTCTTTTTCAATAGCGGTTTGCTTTTCAAGTAGATATTTTTCTTGCAGCTTTGAACAACCAATTCAGCAGATTAGGCAACAACACATGCCTCTTGTTTCAGGTCCCACTTGTATTGACTTGAAATCAAACAAAGGGAAAATTTCAACTTTTCCCCCCTTATGTTTCTTGCGTAAAGTAGTTCTATACAATTCACCGAGTCCTTGTGGTACCCAAGAATCACTGATATTGATCTTGATTGTGCATAGTTGGCCTAACCGATCTGCTTAGAAAGCAGTAAGGCCTCATAAACATTTTTTAAGAGGCAAGCCAGCAGAGGTTCAAATTTTTTTTATTAAAAAACTTTTTTTAAATAATAATAATAATAAGAGTAGGCTATGTCAGATTTATTCATATATGAAACAGGGCTATTTTTAACACCCCGCCTTAGCAGGGTTTTAAGAGTATATATATATATATATATATATATATATATATATATATATATATATATATATATATATATATATATATATATATATATATATATATATATATATATATAAATATATATATATATATATATATATATATATATATAAATATATATATTTTTTAATATAATTACTAGATACGGCATAGGCAGAAAAAATTGAAGTCGGGCAAATTTTACCGTGATGATGCAGAGTGAGGAAAAAATAAATTTAGATAAAAACAGCGTATATATTATTCTCATATTTACATTTTATATTTACATTTCAAGTTATATTTTGCATTTCATAGATTTTAAAGTTATTTTGAGACATTTGAAATTTATAAATAATTTTTAAATAAAAGTTAATTTTAATTGAACTTAATAAACTTACTCATGACTCAAGATTTATCAAACTCAAAAAAATGAAAAATCTTTTCAAAAACTCTGCAATGCAAGTGAAATTTTATTAAATTAGTATGCCACCGTATATAATTCGTATATGACCTTATATTGCTTATATGAAGTTTCTAGAAGACTAACTTTGAGTATAAAAATATACATCTACATATTATATGTACAAATTTGTCATATATTTATAATATATTTATGCATAATATACATATATGTATATTATGCATAAATATATAACAAATCTTGGCTATTCATTAAGGTTGTAGTATACATATATACTACAACCTTAGCGGATATACTATACATATATACTACAAGTGCAACTTTTTATTCATATATACTATACATATATACTATAAGTGCAACTTTGAGTATATATGTATAGTATATATTTTTTGAGTATATATTAATTGATAACTTGAAAAAGCAGACATGTCCTGCAAAAATTCACATGTTATGTGAATTTTTGCAGGACATGTCCCCTTTTTCAAGTTAGTTATTCATATGTATAGTATATATTTTTTGAATATATATATATAGTATATATTATTTTAGTACATTACTGTTCATATATACTATACATATATACTATAAGTTCAACTTTGAAAAGATAATTAATACTGCAAAAAGATTTATCTAAGAGACTACATAGAAAGTGATTCAGACAATCTGCAAACCTTCATCAAGAAGTTGTTTTTTGTATTAATTTTTTTTTTTCAAACTTTGAAATGTTATTGATGATTTACAAGCTAGAACAGATTTAAGTAGTTTTAATTCTGACATTAAAGATTTAATTCTAAAACGAACGAGATCCAAAACCAAATTACATTTTTTTTTCATAAAATTTATATACTTTATATAATTTATATATCTTTTAGAATAATGCCGCACATCTATCTGATCATTATATTGTATAATGCATTCATTTCAAACAACATGTACATACAAACAGGAACAAAATCCATAGATCAGCCATAGGAATTAGAAAAAAATGAGGTCGGCATTAATTTGCCAACCTAAATTTGTTAAGGTCGGCATCAGGTCAGCAAAAAGATTCAATACAAAGATTTTACCATAAAACATAAAAACAAGGTCTGGAATTTTTTCCGACCTCAAATACTTCTAGGTCAGCAGTTAAGTCAGCATTGCGAAATGCCAACCCTAATTTTGAGGGTTGATAAATACAATGAAATAAAAAAAAAAGAAAAAGTTATTATTAATAAACAATTAATAGACAACTTAAAAGATTTAAAAAATTATATGAATCAGGAAAACAAGATGAAGGAACCAAATTCTAAAGAAGGAGATGCTAGCTCTTTAGAGCAATGCCCATTATAGTATTTAAAGAAAAGAGAAAGAGAAGCAACATTACAACAATGTGATAATGGTTGGAGGTTGGTTGCAAGAGCAGGTTCAACTATGTTTGAATTGGTTTTTTGCATCTTGTGTAAAAGAGAAAGGGCATCATTGGAATATCCACCCCAGATATGGCAACAGTATTCCATACAAGGACGGATTTGAGATTTATAGAGATAAAGAATAGAATCATGAGTAAGAAAGTGGCAAGCACAATAAAGAGATTCAACCTTACCAGATGCTATTTTTGCAATGGATTTAATGTGGTTTCCAAAAAAAATCGGAAGTAAGAGTTTATCTTAGAAGATGAAGGGTAGATGACTCATTGAGTACATTACTGTTCATAAATATAGGAAAATCTTGATTATTGTGATAACAATTTGCTGGAAAGTTTTATCTAATTTAAAGTTAACCAGCCACTAAGAACCCTGTGCT